AGCGGGAAGCCATCTTTAAAAAGACGCCCGTCGCTCGTGAAACTCTTTTAGAATTTGCTATTTTAGAAGGAAAAACACTCTTTTAGAGAAAGCGCCCAGGGGAGGTCGCGGCGAGACCGCAGAATGGAAGGCAACCCCCGCTGATACGCCGTCACACCAACGCCAGCTGTTTCTCTCGAACACTCGCGGAGATTCGTCCTGTAGAAGGCTCGGCTCCGAAGCGAAAAGCTGATGTGCGTTTGCATGCGCTCTCCTTTTATACCCGCGCTGCGGGGCGGGGTGCGCGTGGCGAAGCACGCACGCCAACTGTCATTGGCTTGTTTAGTTAACACTCGAAGGTGATTGGGCTCTCGGGCGAGATCCCAATTCGTCAGTCATTGACGTAACGTAGAACGTGACTGACTGAATGGGAACTTACTTTCTCGGCCACCGTCAATTTATTTATTTTATATGCAAAATTTTCATCCACAAGCAAAAGTGCCTTAAATCTCCCGTTTTCATTTTTTTCTTGCTGAATTTAACTTGTTTCATCCCTCATGCTTTAAAAAACAAACACATTATGCATTATGATGAATTATGAAAATATATTAACCTTGTCATTGTACTTTTTTTCTGTGTATATAATCTCATGCTATGATGTAGGCCTACGTAAATCCATTATAATTATGTTTGTTCACTGTTAAAGATACAACCATGGAATCTTTTCCTGGGGCCCGTTCTTCATACGATTGTTGACGATTTGGCATGATCTTGGATTATTTGGTTCTTCGAAGCTCATCCTGGACTCACAGCAACAGGTCCGTAAACTTAAACCTGCTGGGGAGCAGGCTTATTTCATGTAAACAGGATTAGATTGCATCTTTTTAAGTGGAATTTATATTTAAAATCTATCCCAGCCACTGCTACTCTATTACAAGAGTACCCTACTAATCCGGGGACAATCATTTAAAATACTAATAATTTAAAATATTAGAAAATTAGAAAATAATATAATGTTAACTATAATACTATAGACACAGCCAGTTTTACTAATTTTAAAGATTTATTTGTGATAAAATAATAACTTTATATTTGTATTAGTCTTACACACATGCTGTACAGTTAATCCGAGTCGTGCATTAATTTGAGTGCTGACAGCTATTATGGGAGTGGCTTGATGGAGCGCAGGAGATACAGATAACTTGATCTTGACCCTTGAGAAACTTTAATTAATGCTATCGCATAACAAATCTGCTTCAAATATAATATTACATGAATTGCTAATTACAACATTGAATTAGCCCCTGCTGCTCAAAGGTCTCTCCATTGCTAGCCCACCCCAACACTTACGCACAATAATAATGATAAATGCTGACCAATACTTAATTATATTACACATTTTCTTGCTGAAAATTATATATTTTAATAAAACAAGCAAAATCTAACTGTTGTCATATAACTTAGCTATGCATGAATACACACGAGACAAATGTAGCCGATGTGAATTTATCAATTTTCAGTCAGTGAATTAATGCATGAACTGACAACAATGGGAAACATGAATACAAATTAGTAAATTAATTAATAAAAGTAACCATCACAATAAATAAATTAATATACAAGTGAACAACACATGAAACAAAGCTATATTCAAAGGTATTGTTCTAACAAACTATCACATCTTTACAGGTGGTGAACCCCACATCCTACTGCCATCTCAACACAGCTGTGCCAATTCTGCAGCTTTATTTTGATGAAGCAAGCCTTTGGCAGTCTGAAAACATGCTGGTGCTCTATTTTCTTCAAGGCCTGAGAGGTGAGCCCTGCCTTTGTGACTGAGGTTGCTTCATGCTGCGCTGTGCTTCACAGTCTCACTCTTCTCAATAGGGACATCGTTGAGCCAGAGGATGAGGAAGACCATGAGGATGCCCCCCTGAACAACACCACCTTGAAGCAAGAGTGGGTGAACATGTACTGGACTCACACTGTGTCTGCTCCAAACATTTGTGTGTCTGCTTTCCATGAGCATGACTACCTGTAAAACATTTAAACAGGTTAAAGCGTTTTACAATTCATGACCCACAATTCACGTGTGGGTGTTTTTGTACATTACACCACTCACATTTGCACAAATATTCATCCCTTTATAAACATTTAAAGTAATTTATGAATGTTATCATTATCTCAAAGTATCTCAAGGTATATATATATATATATATATATATATATATATATATTTCTTCTTTACACAAATCAAAATGCGTAAATAATCGGAAGATGCTTTTGTTTCATAATTATGCTTATTGTTTTTTGCAATTATTTCAAGTTGGCAAAATAACCGGAATCTGTCCGTCTGCGGACATTTCAGATCCTACAAAAATGCACACACATAAAACAAAAGCAGTCATTTCTGTATTCGAAGTAACAAAATTATCTTACTTTATATTTTGTGTCATGTTTTCCCTTTTTATCACAAATGCCGCTGTCACCTTGCCTTGCAGGTCCTGCTCCACCACAAAAGCTCTGCAGCAAATGCACAGAAATCAAGAGTCAGAAAAAGTGCTGTAATAACTATGTTTGAAATTACAATAAATAAAATAAACTACAACTCAAGATTTAAAAATATGTTTTATTCATTTCTGTAGTGTACTCACTCAAAGCCTTTGATAGCAGCCTTCCTTCATCAGTCACTCTCCACTGGATAAGTACACATGTCTCATCTGTCCCTGTAACATCCAGACAAGATTCAAGTTACTTCTGTGCTCAATGCTGCATTTAAATGTTGAGGTAGTTGTTGATGTAATTCGCTCTTTATCCAACACAAATCTTCCTCAATTTATCAACAGTACTAATGGACAAATGAAACAGATAATGTATGTTTAGTAACTTTGTTGTTTATGTGCATTAGTTACATTTATCTAAAGCAAGCAGTGTTGACAACAGTGAATTCTACTACATAATAGCACACATACATCACTCCGATGTCTATTTCATGTCTATTAGTTGTGCTCATCTGCACTGCTTAAAGATTGTCCTGTCAGATGTTAAACAGACATTTAGTAATGTATATGGCTCATGTAAATCCACTTTGGAGACGTGTGTGTGCTTACTGGAGCTCCCCTGTTCGCTATACATAATAAAACGTGTTTTTACAGAAAAATCTCAAAGACTGTCTAGCATCTTTACACCTTCAATGATTCAACAGTTTACTCTACTTTTATAATACTCACATTTGAAGACACCCTCGTCTCTGTTCTCCACACTGTTCGATTATGACGTATCCTCTCCTGTGACCTTCTGGGACTGAAAAGTATCCATCGGATGAACACTTCAGAATCTGGGCTGAAGCAGTAGGACATCCGGGGATTTCTCGCCTACTCTTTTATGAATACTGAGGTTTCGGACATACTACTCTCCTCACGTGGTGGCTCTTTTCTCCTACTACTGTATATAGTAGGCAAGTAGGTATATTCGGACCCAACTTAAGCATACGCAGGTCCGAATCTTGCGACAATTAGTACCCCACCCATGCAATTCTCTCCTACTCTTTTATGAATACTAAGGATTTGGACATACTTATTTGTTCGCTTACTGCTTTTGTTTACTATATAGTAGGTAAGTATGCGGTTTCGGACGCAGCCGGTGCCTTTTCTGTGGTGGCTTTTTAACTTGTCCTCAGAGAAAACGTCCCTCTGTGAAAACTTTTCCAGTTGCAAAGTACAAAAATGAAGGCATAATTAATTCAGTGGCAAGTTATTACTCGCAATAAAGCCCTTCAAATTTATAAAAAAAAATGGTCTACAGCCAAGAGTGTAATGAAGTTTTGTGGTCATGTGCTGGAAAAAAAATTAGCGTGTATATACAGTATGTAATGAAAATGTCAACCTTAAGTAACTAATTAAAAGTATAGGGGAATGGAAGAATGTAAACTTAAGGAAAAAATAGTTCAAAAAGAAAATCAGTGTATCTGAGAAAAATAGTTCTGAAAAGTTTTTGTTTTGACATATTAAGAGCATAGTATAATGAGTTCTCAAGTAGTATAATCATTCTCAAGTGTAATTATTGTAACAATCTCAAGAGAATTACTATGTGACATCCATTCTTACTTCCTAAATATTTGAGAAAAAAAGATTATTTACTATTATAATAATATAAAAATATAAAAAAAAAACATTGCATATTATTATTCTTATATATATATATATATATATATATATATATATATATATATATATATATATTTAATACTGTTTATGAGTGTGTGATATATATATATATATATATGCTTAATACTGTTAATGAGGATGTGCAAATTAATCTTGTGGCTTTCATTATGTATACTGGGGAGAATTCACTAAACAGTTTTCTGCTGTATTCAGTGCAAACCCCTGCAAATTACATTCAGCACAGTTTTTGGGGGCATGTTTGTTTCATTACCCGATTTGCATAATTATTTTAGTGAATCGGTTACTAAAACAATGCAGACAGCACGTGCAAACAAATGACGCTATCAGTGGGGCACAACTTATTCTAAAATCCTCCATACAGGAACTCCTTTTTTTTTCAAATGTTGACTCTGGTTTGGACAATAACTGAGTTTTGAATATTTATTGGAATTTAATTGACCTATTTTCATTGTCAATCTCTGAGGTCCTCAAACCGTTATTTCCCTGTAGTCCAGTGTGTTATTGAAAACAAATCTAAAGAAAACACCCTGGAGAAAGGGCTATAGAGGTCAAAGCTTCACATCACTGTCATCTATAAAAAATAGCTGCTCTATAATAGCCAACTGGATAAAAAACACCTACTGTTTCTGTGGGTTTCTCTTTTCATCAAATCCAGTTAGTTTACTATTTTTTTACAGCAATTTATTGACCAACAGTATAAGCGTTGTGAGGCTCCACTGTGCTGATTTTAATTGCCGTTCTCTGTAAACACACGCTTCTGTAGGCTTTCAGTCGTTTGCACCGCGACTAGCTGGTTTTCAGCATCTCGACCATGGCCGCTGCATTTTTAAGACGCTGTGTCAAATTAAACAAAGTTAAACTTTTAAAACCATTCCTCTGTGATGCGTCTAGCATTTTAAACATGTTATGTGTCGAACGCACTTAAATCTGTTTGCCAATCGCAATAAATCAAAATGATAAAAACAGATTAATTAAATTCTAAAGAACAAAGACTCTCCTCCACATTGCTCTATACATCTGTTGAAAACTCTGTCTGCCTCCACCTCTAAAGACGTTTTCTGGACTATACATTCATCCAAAGCTAGAGAACGCGCTGCATCTTGTGTGCTGTAGCCTATGTCACTTCTGCAACATAAACAGTTTACTTTCTTTGCAGAACCCTGATCTATTTAAGTAGCTACAACATGGCAACAAGCGCTGTTCATCCACTGGCCTCTCTGCATCATCCAAACTGACGATCACATTAGCATTCAGGTTTCCTCACATGACCATCCAACCTGTAGGCCCTATGTTATAAGTTGTATTCACACTGTTAGCCTATAATTTGATTTAAATTTCAAGTAAAATTTCAAGACAATGCACAAAATATTTCAAATCTAGAAATGACTTATGAATTTTCTAATTGTAATAAATTAACTTGAATTATTATAATTATTATTATTAGTAGTAGTAGTATTGGTATTAGTATTATTATCAATAACCTACTCTAATTTATTTAGTATGTTTAAATTATAATACTAGTTATATTTTAATACATAGGCTAGGTTACCAATGAATGAATTTATTTAATTCATTCATTGGTAAATTTAATTACTACACTGAAAAAAAAATTGGATAAAAAACAAAACAAAAAGGATATTGGTTGCAAATATGTATGTTATGTTCTCTCAGCATAATGTATTTCTGTTTATGTTACCTAACTTTATGCTTTATGCTTTTTTTTACCACATTTCCTCCTGTTGATATAACATGATTTTTGTTTAAATGAAAGCTTTGCCCACTATATGCAGTGGCGTTTCAATAAATTAAATACAACTATGATAAAAGTTATGATAAAACCAGATAAAATTAATCACAGGATAATAAAAATAATAATAATTTTATAATAGTAATAATTTAATTAATACGTTTATAAATAATCATTTTAAATAAAAGCGTTTTAGCAACCTTAATATTGTAGATTTTTAAAAGCAGTCAAGCAATAAGCAAAAACATTTATTTTATTAAAAAATAAACTTGCTTAATGTAATACATTATACAATACGAACAATGACAGCTTAACTAAAGTAATAATAATTTAAACAAAAAAATGACTTTCTTCGAAATTGTGCTGCTTTTAAAGCTCCACCATTATACTCCTCAAAGGAATACTTAAATGGATAGTTCACCCAACAATTTTAATTCATTTATTCATTGATTCATTTATTAATTTACTCACCCTCAAGTTTTTCCAAACCTGTATACAATTGTTTGTTCTGCTGAACACAAAGGAAGATTTTTTGAAGGATGTTTGTAGCCAAACAGCTTTGGGGCATCATTGATTTCAATAGTATGAAAAAAATACTGATTTAAAAAAAAGCAAAAATTTAGCAAAAATGTGATTTAAAAAAGATCAACTAAACATACACAATACAGTACCATTTCATAAATGCCACTACTGTAGAGGCTTTGAACTGACAGTGAAGTGGTTGTCAATAAGTGCACTTGTCTGGTGAAATATCAGATATCTGTAAAATATCAAAAGTATGCATCAGTTTTGACATAGTTAACAATTATTATGGGAAATTAAATCCAAGACTGAGTGACAGAGGTATGGGATGGAGTGCCCTCTGGTGGTTATCAAGGGCACTCCAGCTGGTAATCGTGGCATAGCCCCCCTCCTAAGGAGTGGCTTCCAGGCACTCTTAAACAAGAAAAGACTTAAGTCCAGGAGGGAGGTAGAGCGGAGGCGGAACAGTGGGAGGGATGGAGGGCTCAGGGCCAGGTCCATGGACAGGAAAAGGAACTGGAGCTCGCGGAGCAGGAGATCAGGGCGAAGCCAGCAGAACAGGAAGCCAGGGCAGAGCCGAAGACCACCCAGGTGGAGCTGATGACGGCAGAGCTGAGCAGACGGGACCGCAGATCTCAGTGATGGAGCAGATGACCACCAGGGTGGAGCTGAAGGAGCTGAGGACCACTTCAGTGGAGCTGGTGGTGCAGGGGACCACCAAGATGGCTCAGGCTGAGCAGATGTCCACAACAGTGGAGCGTACAAGGCAGGAAACCATCAAGGTGGATCAGGCAGGACTGCAGTTGAGAGCACAGAGAGGTTAAATGGCCTCTGTGGCCGTAACAGGACAGACAGAAAGTTCAGAGGCAGTATCTTTGGCCGCGAAAGGGCAAGCAGAGAGTTCAAGAATGGCATCCTTGGCTGTGACAGGACAGGCTGAGAGTTCAAGGGTGACCTCTGTAGTTGAGACAGGACAGGCAGGAAACTTACAGGGTGATGCCAACACAGGACTGAGCTAAGGGGCTTGAGTGGACTCTGGCAGAGATTAATGGACTGGAG